ATCAATAGTAGAATAGTGAGAAGTCACGTGGAAGTTCGATGTAGAATTGCTCACTGTCTGAAGTGCTGGATGACTGACGAGCACATTCTTCAAACTCCACCTAGTTTACTAGTCGTTGGTGAGCATGGAAAGCAGGTGATGTTGACTGTGTGTGTGAGAGAGAGAGGGAGAGAGAGACTAGGAACACCACAACATCGAGACAATACCACTGATACGCAAACTTCAAAGTTGATAAATCACTACTCTTTCCATCTGTCCACACAGATCCCCATTCCCACCTCTTTTGGGTTAGTCTTCTTCTTCCACTCTAGTCCTAGTTCAACTGACAGTGTTACTCGTGTGTCAAGGAAGACTGTGGCTATTCACGTGTTACTACTCACATTGACTGGTCATCTCTATCTATACAACTAACCAAAACTCATCCATCTTACCATTTCTCATTTCCCCACACTCTACGCTTACATTCATTATCATTACTCACATTTTCTCACTCAATGAATGAGAAGCACATACAAGTAGTCGAAAACCACTGATTTCATTTCATATTTTCCATCTCTAATGGCTATGTCCTAAACAGTTTTCGTAACGCTAGAATGGCTAAGAATGGAATAGGTAATTGTGATTGTGACTCAATTTATTGTGTAGGATGTTGACTGCAGGGTCAGATTCTGCATGTGTCACGAGGGAATATCATCGTTAGTTCGTTGGTTAGTAGGTTACAAGTGTGTAGAATTTGCGCTTAAACTAAGATGATACAACCCACAGGAATAAATAATCTACGTACAGAATAACACAATGAGGAGTGGGACATAGTCACGACAGTAAACATTATGGTAAGCAGCTTTGCGTCTTACCCCAGTCCACTCATTATCGAGCCCACTACAACCGAAGTGAAATTTCGGTTTAAGTCAGCCAGTGACAACACCTCAAACCAGATAATTCTTAGTTGGGCTGTATTCTAGTACTGAATCAGCTAATTACTCACCGAAATCAAAACTATCGAGTACTCGACAACTCTTTCCTCATCATTCATCACTCATTCACCAAAACGCACCCACCAACCACCACCCCAACTTTAGATCCAACTTAGACTTTCAAACTGCAGGTTACGAGGCGAGCTTGGTAACCATTCAGCCAATGGTATTTTCCAATTAACCACATTAATCAGCTTCTCTTATCACATCACTGAAACCATGTACACTTTAGTAACAATATGACTCCTTCCAGTAGTATGTTGCCTTGAAATATATATTCACTATTCACTCGATTATAGGCATGATTGTGTAACTACTATATTCATTTGATCAGTCAGTTTCTCACACTCACCATATTATTCCACTATCTCGTCAACTGGATAGTTCGACTAAGAGGCTACTATTGTTCATCGAAAACTTATTCTCTACTAACTTCACAGTGAACATGATAAGCTCGAGAATATCTACCTACCTGCAACTTCCACCAATCATCTACAGGAATTTCATTCTGGCTATCTAATTCACCTTCATCTCAGTCAATTGAGACAATCGAGATAAGAAAGTATATGCATGATCCTGAATACTCACTAGTTATTGATTGATATATGAGTGGTCGAATGCCAATCACACTGACGAGTAATACCTGCTAGACATCATATCTAACTGATGTAAACACGGAAAAGATGTTTCTCCTGTCTGTCGTTGAGAGCTGTGTACTCAATTTGACTCAGCTTGTGAATTCTGAAATCTGGTTAGCTATTTCGATGAACATGGTGATAAATTGAAATACATTGTACTACATTTGTAATTTTCAAGTTACGCATCTCGAGGTTCCATTCAATAAGACTTTCCATTTGAGAGTCGAGATTATTCAGACTACACAGTGTGTGGTATGCATGGTTCGCTACCTGTTATCAAGGTTAGCATGCTACTTATTTCATTGTATTGAATAGGCCTTCATGATTTGCATGATGCGCCGGAGGTATGTATTTAAAAGGAACTCGTCAGATCTCAATATTAACCATGAGTTTAGTTCGGTTTGACTACTTAGTTTTGTGAGTTTGTTTTTCAATTTCGGTCATATTTCTTTTCATCTTGAGTTATACATTATCTATTATTTTTATTTTGTTTGCATGCTCATATCGTTCACGCCATTCTTCTTCAAAGACTAGTTTACACATTAAACATTTCTAGTTCAGTATTAACTTTTTTCTAAGCTTTTCATAGTGCACATTCATATCCCGTTGGAAATTATAATCGCTTTTATTCCCTTACGGTATAATGCGATATCAAATAATAATAATAATAATTTTGTCTATGTAAACCTAGATTGCAACGTAAAAAGGGAAGAAGATGGGAAGTTAAACAGGAGTTTTTACAAGAAATCCACACATTCAAACAGATATTTGGACTTCCGATTATCCCATCCTATGTCAGTAAATATAGGATTGGTGAAATGTTTAAGCGACAGAGCACAGAAAAAAGTGGTACCAAGAAAAATCTAAGACAGGAAGTGATACACATAAAAGAAGCCTTGAAACTTGATAATTATCCGGATAAATTAGTCAGGAAATATGCAGGGAAATGTTAAAATAAAATAAATAATGATAATAGCGATAGTGATAATAATAATATTAATGACGACACCAACAGTGAGGATTCTAAATCATCAATAGTAATTTCATACAACGAAAGAACCTCGGAAACCCTACGCAGAATTCTTAACAAGGCAGGAATAAAAGTGGCTGGCATTCAAACCAACCACAAACTCAATTAGAAACCAGCTTTGTCGGTTAAAGGATCAATCCTGTGGGGCCTTAAAAACGAAACAATTTAGTTGGTCTAATACCCTCCCTGCTGGAATGAATGTCAGGTCAAATACATAGGTCAGAGTAGTAGAACAGGGGCAGTCAGTCAGACTAGTTGAGCATAAAAACCTAGCAAAATCTAGATTGATTGACCCGAATACGATGAGAAATCTAGAGAATAGTTCATCTATACCATTGACTGCTTGCAATTACACACAACCAACTATAGAATAGGATGGGATAGGATGACAGTTTTAAAATCTAATGTAATAGCAGGGTGGAGGGAGAGATTGATAAAAGAGGTTTTGTTTATCGAATCAACTGCAAATATATGTGAAAGGAATGATTCAACACCTGTCCATTCGGATATCTGGAAAATTCTACTACTGCCCCTACGATAAGTAGGACAGGACAAAGAAAACTATAAAACTCAAGTTTCGAAGTCGTGTGATTATAATTGATGAAATGATTATCAACAATAAATTTAGTTCGAAACTGTGTCATCCAGTAAATGATACTGTTTCATCACTGTGTGATACATCTCATAAACAAATTAATATGGAATTACTCACCACCACAGTGCCCAAGTTTTACACATATATTACTATGTGAACCTATTTAGATAAATGTCATCGTGTGAGTTTCAGTATGAAGTCGTCGAAATGATATCTTTGCTCAACTTTTCGTTCTTCACTCTCTTCTTTCGTGATAGCTACTTTAAGTGATATAAAGAAAAGATTGTTTGGAATCATCCATCTGTAAATTACACACATCATCGACACTAAATACAATTAACCACCATCTGATTGAAGTGATCTCAACACATTGAATAAAATGATTGATGGTATTCAGGAGACGAAGGCAGTCGATGAATACGTTTGATACACTTGTTTGAAGGTGTGTTTATGTATCCTGAGACGTCGAATGTATTTATTCTACGTAGACGAAAGCTCAGCTGACAAGCGGAATGAGAAGAACAATTATGTGGTCTGAAATACTAAGTATGTGTGAAGAACGATACTATTGAGCAGATGAAGTACATTTAACTAACCAGAGAGGGTGAAAGGAAAAAATCAAACGTAAAATGACAGGGAGATCAATGGCGAGGAGGCTTAACCAGTTGTGAATGATAAAAGCTTTCAGGTTGATAATTTTAGGGATTATTCACAGTTAAGGGTAAACGTATCACAAGCAAAATCTGACAGTTTATTAAGGTTGACACACGCTGCATAAACTCACAGATTCTTTTATGATGTGAAAAGCTGTATGAAAATTTGTTAGTCGCTATAACACAGAAATGAACATGGAGATAATCCTATTCATTTCAGTGAGTCAATCAATCAATAGGTCAATCAATGTGTCAGACTTTAGACATGGTGATGTGGCAGCATTCCTAGTGTGATAGAATGGGTTGAAGGTGAGGGAGGAGGTCCTTCAATCCAAAACCTTTTCAAAGTAGGTATTTTTAATTTCACTTGATTGATAGTATTATCTCAGTTGGTGCAGTTGGTTGGGTAGTCAGAAATCCTGTAGTTTGAAGTGATTCGTGTCTTCCAACTAAGTTGAAGCGGATACAGCCCTCTGATGTTCGGTGATGTCGCCAAACGGGCGAAACGACCACTCAGGTAATAGACCACTTCAATCTAGTTGACTTGTCAAGCCGCAAACACTACTTCTGGTTGATGTGGGTGATGTTATCCAACGACGCATCTCAAACAATCAATGAATGAATCAATCAATCAATCGATCAGTACTAAGTATATATATATATATAGAGAGAGAGAGAGTGATTTCCGTACAGACTTCATCAAGAGTAGTCAAGATAAGAAAGGCATAACCTTTTGAGAGGATTCAGCATTCCACACCATAATTAATAAGGATAACAATAATTATTATTGTTCTGAGGAGCTTTTATTACTATAAAAGTAATAATAATAACAGTAATAATGATAAAAGGATGGTTGTTAATACTGGAGATGGAAATAATTGTTTTCGATCGAGAAAACCTCTACTATGCTGCTGTTTTATGTTATATTGCAATCAACTTGTTATTTACGTGTATCTGTCCACAATTGCGTGTGTGTGCGTGTGCGTGTGTGTATGGGTGTGTTTGGCGCTCTGGTGCTTGCACGTCTAAATGTCTATGATGTGTGTCTTACTGCGCACACGTTGTTTATCTCTAACCTGTGCGTGTCTGTCCTACTCTATAAAATCCACTATGTCTCTACTGTCATATGGTAATAATAATAATAATAATAATAATAATAATAATAATAATAATAATAATAATAATAATTATAATAATGTTAATTCTACCACTGATATTATTTTTTTATTGCTATTACCATTATTATTATTACTAATGCCTATCTACATTTACTATACACACAATGCTAATAAGTTATTATTATTATTATTTTCATATTACAGCAATAATGATAATAATAACAATGTTCATTTGCAAAATGTAACCCCAACTAATCAATAAAATAATAATTACTATTATTAATATTACTAGTATTATTATCTACTAATAATACAGAGATGAAATTGAAAGGAATTTCGTCCTTGCCAGTGGTTATTGATATTCACCTGAATAATATTAGTCTCCACTATATTGTCGATAATGTTGACGATGATGGTGGTGTTTGAGGCTAATCGCCAATCGAAATGCTCTGCAGATAAATGGACTTCTTGTAAGTCAACATAGACAGGAGTCAGTTACAAAGACAAATGAATGAATGGAAAGCTCAACGAGGATATCACTCTCAACGATTTCATCTTCAAAAGCAGCTCTACAATCGCATTGTGAAACACACAAACAACTTTACATAGAGACGATTACTATTATTATTGTTACTATTTCTATCTGATTCCGAATAACGATGATGACAGAGATTAATCGTGATTATAATTTTTAAACTGATATGAAGGTTCTAAGGTTTGAATATAAATTACCACAGGCGTAGAGATAAGATCAACAAATTAACTAGATGCTAGTATATAAAGAAGGCTTCTACGGTACTGTCTCCTGTAGAGGACTTTTGTTTACTTTGTAAGTGAGATAGTGAACAATCATATAGTTGAGATGTTGTGTTGACAGGTGTTGACGAGGTGTTCATTTTTGGTGAGTGTGATTGAACCAGTGCCGCCTACTGTTTTCACATGTGTTAGGTGATCTTTTCTAACACATTTTTAGTGGGCTCGTAGAGAGCTAACTATTTACATAGCTCCATAAGGAAGGGCATAGTGATTGACGCACATTGGTGTGCTCATATGCGGGAATTCGTCCTTCACGTTGTTTACAAGCATAGTTTAGCTAGAGAGTATCAAATTTAGTGTTGGTTCAGGTTTAGAGTTGGTTCCTGTCGTTACAAACATGTGAACTATCTTGATTCTTGATACACGTAATATTAATGAGGTGGAATGTTGCAGTGGAATGACTTTACAGGCACACTATCTGCTTCTTTCATCCTTATCATCTACTGCTATCGACGCACGCAAATCGTCGACATTTCTAATTATCTATTAACGCACTTTAAGTCGGTGTTGAGGGCATTTGAAACAGCCTAATTTTAACAGACTTGTGCATCACAGTTTGCTGAATCATTCCTTCGCATACTTCAAAGGAGGCGGATATTTTTCAGTCTGCCTGGGCTGAAGCACAAGATATACTATAAGCAAGTTATACACAAAAAAACAGGAATATGAGTGAACTAATATTTATTCTAATGTATGTGAAAATGGCTTAGCAACATGCTGTTCACAATATGTGTCGTCATCACAAACATAAACGACTAATCACATGACTGATTGCTATTCACACGCCAAGAGAGATAGATATGGTATACGACACAACCTGAGAAGGCTAAGATTCATAACTCTAGGACAATGAGTGCACAAATCATAACTGATTACAAACTCTGATCACATGACCAACACTTCACGAATTAAAGATGTAAAACAACAAATATATATGTCGCGACAGGATGACATGCTCCAATGAAAATCTAATCTAGCCTAATCTTGTGACAGTTAACCTTCCTTAAAGGTCAAAAATCTGGGATGTAGGTTACTACTTGATGCACTGGATCATAGCTTGTCACCACCCTGCCTAATACACTTGTTTTCACCCCTGCACAGACAAATGAAGAATAATTATTTGACGGTATAGTGTGTGTGAAGTTAATCTGAACGAAGTGTAAACGTGACGATGAAACAAAAGTGTACCAGCTATCAACAACATCTTGACAGTAAGCTTCAATCAGTGTTATGATTAGCGTCTCTTAGATTTATCAAGATGGAATTCGAGTTATTCTTTAAGATAGCTTTAGGTTACGATTAGAATAAGGTTAAATATACTGTACGATAGCTGACTAAGTATATAAATGTACATTGTATCAACAAACTCAATGACTTCACAGTCTTTCATTCGAACAGGCTGTTGAAGATGATGTAGTAACCTGCTATACTTGATCTGATCCAATATAATTTTGTAAAATGTCATGTAGATAGATAAATTACAGCCTGATTGTTTTTGTTTGTTAATGAATCCACGTCAGATACATTTGAAATTCAGGTACAAAGAATGGATGGATGTGGATAGATGTTTTGCAGGAGTTTCGGGTCACTTGTAACCTGATGGAGAAATAAATTCAGGGGGGGGGTATCGGGTCGAGCAGTGGACGCATATTATCACCCTGCTATTAAGTCCGTCTTCAATGACCAGTGATTTTAAGCATCTATTGTGTTCCAATTCCATAGAAAGACGATATGTGATTTCTTTTCTGAAGACAGTGCTAGTGAAATTAAGGTTATTATTACTATTCACTATTCCCAGGGATTGTGAGTGGAGCAAGCAGTTTCAGTAGCAAATCTCCAGGTCACGTTGTTTCAACCGTCTTTCTCAGCTGACTTCAGGATTGTCCAATAGCTTTCGATTCTTCTGCATGTAACTTAATTCATTCACATTTGGAGTCCGACCGAGGGTCAGTCTCACATGTGATGTCACTCAACGGTCACTCTCGTGTATGTCCAATGCATCTTGATTTCCTTCTGCATTCTTATTGGGTGATTAGTCCTCGTTGGTTCGTTGAATACCATAAAAACGATTCTTGTTCACTTTTCCTGATCAACTAGCCATCTGATCATCAGTTTGGCGTCAGAGAGGATAGCTCTCGATAACAGTTTGTTGAAAATGGAGATTGTGAAGTCAGCGAACATATGAAGTTGAATACATCAAAATTCAGTATTGAAAAAATGAAAGAATATGCGGAGAATGATGGAAGTGAAATTCGCATAAATTTGTGCTAATGTCCATCCAGTTTGCGTTGAATGTTTAATAATAATAATAATCACAATAATTATTATTATTATTATTATTATTATTATAACTATTGTTATTGTTATGGTCATCATGATAATAATATTAATAATGCCAATAATCATAAGAGTCGTGATAATAATAATAATAATAGACATAATATTATCACCAACATGCCTAGTAAATATATAACAATAACAATAATATTAATAAATCTATCATACTCATTGCAATTAGAATATTCATAATAAACCTAATAATAATGAGAATAACAGATGAAATAATCATCATGGTTGTAACAAGCCTCATATCCATAATAACATTAATAATAATATTGATAATAACAATAGTAATGATCACTCTATTCCAAACAATAATTCATTTAGGACTGAATATTTCACAGTAATAAAATTGAGGCTGTTCTCACTGTTCATAGAAAAGAAACCGAAATGGATAGACGTAAAAAGTGTAGTTAATAAAATAAATTATCGGATGTTGGTTGATAGGGATGTCGATTGGTGGCAGGTTTCATCAGGAACTGGTATCAGTAAGAAAGGCATTGTAAAACTAGAAAGGTCTGATTGACAGCTGTCTCGTCAGTCTAGTTTGTGACTCTTCAGCAGACCCCACCCACCCAACCACTGGTGTCCGAACCCACAAATATTCTGGTTACAAGATGAGCTCGTTGATGACCACTCAGTCACTGAGAGCCAATTGAACAGATCACGAAATCCAACTTCTCGCAATTCACGGTAAGTAAATCGCAACGACGAGTAAGTGTTCTCATGCCACACTTGATGAGCCCTATCAATCAGGACATTCTGACTATAACTTTTGTTTACTTCCTGTATACAACCTGATTTAATTAGGAATGTACTGATTAAATGATTCAACAGGAGAATACACGCCAACCACAGCTGTCATTTCCCGGTGTTCACTCCCTGTCTGACGTACTTCAAAATTTCACTTAGGTGTTAGTGGGCTCGATAATGAGTAGTGGAGTGGGTTTAGGCGCGAAGCTGACTACAATAAGCGTTACCGTTGTGTCTGACTCTTCAATGTATTATTATAAACGTAGATTATTTATTCTTGTGGGTTTTATCATCTTTGCTTTAGCCTAACTTCTACACATTTGTGACCTACTAATCAACGAACTAACAGTAATATTCCCTCATGACACATACACCATCTGACTTTGCAGTCAACATCCTACATGATAAGTTAAATCACACTTTCGCCTATTCCAGTATTATCCATTCTAGGGATATGAAAACTGTTGGTGAAATAGTAGTTGAAAATGGAAAATATGAAATGAAATCAGTGGTTTTCGACTACTTGTATGCGCTTCTCATTCATTGAGTGAGAAAATGTGAGTAATGATAATGAATGTAAGCGTAGAGTGTGGGGAAATGAGAAATGGTAAGATGGATGAGTTTTGGTTAGTTGTATGGATAGAGATGACCAGTCAATGTGAGTAGTAACACGTGAATAGCCACAGTCTTCCTTCACACACGAGTAACACCGTCAGTTGAACTAGGACTAGAGTGGAAGAAGAAGACTAACCCAAAAGAGGTGGGAAAGGGGATCTGTGTGGACAGATGGAAAGAGTAGTGATTTATCAACTTTGAAGTTTGCGTATCAGTGGTATTGTCTCGATGTTGTGGTGTTCCTAGTCTCTCTGTCTCTCTCTCTCTTACACACACACACAGTCAACATCACCTGCTTCCCGTGCTCACTACAGACTTGTAAACTAGGTGGAGTTTGAAGTGTGTGGTATCCAGCCAACCAGTCAGTCAGTCAGCCAGGAATTCTACCCAGATCTTCCACGTGGCCCTTCAGCATTCTACTATTGGTCCACCGAATTATGAACACGATTCAACTGCCTGTCTGTTGTTCGGATGAACAACTGTCTCCTGTTGGTCACAGTGTTTGTGCGTAAGTGTTCAACTGATGTCAGTCTATTACAAAATGTCCCTTGAAACTACCTGTCAAACTGTTCAAAATAGTTTTTCACTTCTTTTGATTGATGATATTATCTCAGTTGGTGTATTTCAAATTTCAGAATAAACTATTTAAACAAACAAACGAATGAGGTGGCAGTGGGATCACCAATATCCCCAACAGTGGCAGACATATTTATGGATAGTTGGGAACATAAGGCTCTT